TCATACTTCTAAAGCTAAATTACTTTTTTCCTAATGTGAACTCACTTATGTTACCAGGGGAACATATTCCCAAAGAGTAAATCAGTATCTCTATGAATATTTATAAAACTGAATACAGATTTGTTGTAAATAAAGCTTTGAGGATAGCTCAGATGTATCTGCATCAGCCTCTAATATGCTCTAGTGGCTGAATCTGCCACCTTTATCCCTGTTTCTGTGATGAAGTCAAAAATGTCATTAACAAATGGAGATGAGTCCTTTCATAAAACCTGATAGAGAAACAGTGAAGAACCAGGCATCTTTTCAGAATGGAGGTTTGTGGCACTGATGGCAGTCAGTATGAAGCATCATTCTGTCACCAGATCTACATTTTAAAAGCCTGAAAAGACAGAAATTAGTATAAGCTGGGCTCAGTCTCATCAAGTTTTTATTTAGTGTGCTACTAAACTTCAGAAAACAAATGTGAGCAAGATTGTATCTGTGGTAATAATCTTTTTTTTTTGCATAATTACTGAAGCAGGAATGTTATACATGGATACTTAGGACTAATAGCTACATGAAGAGGAAATATTAAGAATGTGGGTAAGATGACATTAGCTATCATCTGAACATTGCTAAGTGTCTGATATTATTTCACTTTATATTATTATAATATTTATCTGTATTATAGGGAAGGAAAGCTATTTTAGCTGATGTCCCTGCTGACATATAGTTGCTTGTTTCATGCATGCTTGCCTTTTCTATGAAAACCCTAAACTGAAGCAAAGATCAAATTTAGTTTCATTTGAGATGATTGAAGGATCATCTTATGGCTTATAAATTACCTTCCTCACCTATATTTTGACAATCTGGACAATTTTACATCTAGTATGAAAAATAGTAACGACAGCTCCGTAAATGATTTTCTCTTGCTGGGCTTTTCCATCCTTGGAAAGAAACCAACTTTACTTTTTGTGATTTTCTCCCTCACCTATGGCACCATCCTGACCTTCAACATCATTATCATGTCAGTCATATCGCTTGACCGGACTCTACATTGTCCAATGTACTTTTTACTTTTTGCATTATCTGTCTCAGAAACTTGTAGTACCTTTGTCACTGTCCCCAAACTTCTTTTCATTCTGTTGACGGGCAGACAGTCCATTTCCTTTGTTGGATGTGCCATGCAGATGTTTTGCTTTTTCAGTTTGGGAGCCAACAACTGTTTCCTGTTAGTCGCTATGTCTTATGACCGGTATACAGCAATTTGCTACCCACTTCAGTACCAGGTGCTGATGGAGAAAAGGGTTTGCGTCAAACTAGTAGCAGCATCATGTCTCACAGGATGCTGTATATCTCTAATGATTTGCATTCTTATATTCAGGTTGCCTTTTTGTGGGCCAAAAGAAATCCAACATTTTTTCTGTGACATTTCACCTGTGCTGAGCCTAACTTGTACTGATACTTACCTGACTCATCTGGTGGTGGCCCTTTTATGTGCTGTTGTTTTGCTGGGCACAGTCCTATTGACCTCTGTTTCATACGCCTATATTATTTCTGCTATCCTAAGGATCTCCTCCAGTTTGGGAAGAAAAAAAATGTTCTCCACCTGTGCTTCCCATCTCACTGTGGTGATCACCCACTTCAGTTCTGCTTGTGTTGTGTATTTGAGACCTAAGACAACTTCCTCAATAGGTCAAGAGGCATGGATCTCAATCGTTTTTGTCTTTATAACCCCGCTGCTGAACCCTTTGATTTATAGCTTGAGAAATAAAGAAGTTAAATTATCCATTCAAAAACTGCTAAGGAGTTCATTTTGTCCTCAGAGGCTATAAACAGAAGAAGTGATTTTGATATGCTGCAAATGCTTTTTGTTTGTGGTCATAAACAATTTAATTTCATTTGTTGATATGTTCCCTGGAGTATATAACATGGCTTATTGTCTTATGTATTTTTTTAATAGAGGAAATAAAACCATTTTTCCCTTTTTGCTTTGGTCCTAATTTACAGTTTAAGAGCAGAAAAGGAGGCAGTGACAGGATGATCTGCTTGCTTCTGCCTGGAGGGCTGGAGAAAATGTCAAGAATCTTTTGTGGGCTGAGACCCCTGTTTAATTTTGTGTAGTCTTCATCAAAATGTGCACACGGTTAGATCAACATTGCATACTAGCCTCCCTGCAGCATAACAACTTCCCCGTCTGAGCTCCTTGACTCCACTTCTGGACTGACAGTGGAGTTCCCATTAATTAATGGTTCTGGGGGATTTCAATCTGCCTTCTTTAGGAATGGGATGTGAGGCAGTTCAGGAGTTCATGGCCACCAAAGGACCATGGGCCTATCCAGGTAACCCAGAACCAGACACAAGGTAGTGGTCACACTGCAGAATCAGTTCCTGTCAAAGTCTAAATTTTGTGATTTGAAACTGGGAGAGCACTTGGTATCTCCCTTTATCTTGGCCGGATCATGCCCTGACTTCCATGGGATTCTCCAGTATCCACCCAATGCTCCACTGTAGGGAACCATTACAGTAGATTGGTCTGCCTCTGACAATTGAAGAACCTGAATGGATTTCAGAAGCTGCTGAGGATTGTTGCTGTCAGTCTGTTGCAGGATTCATCTGAAGCCTTGGTTGCTACTTGGAAAAAGTGGGTGGCTGAGGCCTCTTCACTTCTCTGGGGGATCCTTGCCCTCCTTGGAGACCCTGCCAAATGAGAGCAGAAGTTTGTAGAGCATCACTGGCACTCAACCAAAGACAAATTCAATAGAAAATGAGTCAGAGTCTCTATCAAAGCCTTCCTGGTGACGGTAGGGCAGTGAAACAGCAGTACTTCTCCATCCTTATTGCATCCACAAATTGCTATCCCTCAGCCCTGTTTTTGATGATACAAGCCCTCATGAATAAAGGGGACCTGGAAAATCTTTTGCAGGGACATGTTGAGGAATTTCTCAGCATTGATTAAACAAAATTACTCAAATAACTCTTAGCTGGACACCAGCCTCATTGCAGGTGCAGAGGAGATGCCTGGAACTGATTCTTACCCAGTTATATAGGATTGGTTATATGTATGTATGTATGTATGTATGTATGTATGTATGTATGTATGTATGTATGTATGTATGTAT